AATAAAACAAAAAAAGTCTTTTATTCGAATATTTAGATTGACGATTATCCTGATTTTTTAGCTGGAGTTGAACAAAAGAATACATTACATATGCGTTTACGTGTTGTGATGCCATCAAATAAGAATAAAAAAAATAAAAAGAAAAAACCGAAATCAACAAGTGTTGACGAAATGGAAACAGTACCAAGTTTATTTGATCGATTGACGTTAGAAAATATTAATAATTATATGGAACCAATAACTCCACGGTAAAATATTTTCTTTGTTCATATTCGAAAAATTCGAGTTCAATAAGTACAATACTAGATTTGTTTGATCTCAACAAAATATGTTTACAATTTTAGTTTTTTATATAACAATAAAAATAAAAACTTTCTCTTACAGAGTTTTAAAAGATCTTCTCTCGATTAAATGTTTTTTCTTTACATAATCACGACTCGATCGATTTCATAAATTATTCAATAACGATTAACAACACATCGTATTTAGATGATCGGATTTTTAAGTATAATAACTGAACCATAAAGATCATAGATTTATGAGAATCAACATAAGTTACAAATTTTCATATCAATAAATTCTAGTATTATGATGTATCTTTAGTTATTTATTTTATATTTAGACGAACAGCATCAAGTCGTGAACTTTATCAAACGCCATTACCACAACTTTCTGCTGTTATTCCATTTGTTCTAACAGCAACAACAACAAATGAAAGCGATCCATTGAATTTACCACTTCATCGACTTGATGATTTATCAACACCGAAAACATATGATACATCATTGGAATTTAAAGAACGTCTTGATGAATTAAATCTTAATACTGATCGTTCAAATGTTCAACGTTTATTGTCAACACAAAGAACATTCTCTGATGAACACAGGATTATGGTCAGATCAAAATCAGCTAAATCATTAACAATGTCGAAAAAAAAGACAAATAATGATTCAGATTGGAATACAGATACACCAAGACTTAGTCGCTATGCATTACAAGTACATCAAGATGATCGCTATGGTACTTTACATACACCACGTAGTACACCACGTGGTACGCCACGTCAAAATCTAGACGATGAATTGTTATTATTAACAAATCGATCAACATTAACAGACTTATCATTGACAAGTAATATAAATATAAATGCTGTTAATAATGAAGATTCACCTGTTTATTGTCCATCAGTTGAAGAAGTGCGCAGGTAAAATTCTAACAATAAAAATATTCGATTTGAACCCATCTAATGATTGAATCATACCCAATTATCGCTTAATATTTTGCTTTCAGCAAAACAAAAAAAAAAGATAAACTAATAGTATGTATATATGATTTCATTGATGATTAGAAAATAGTCTTCTGTTTGGTAGTTTATTTAGATATTTAAATAAATTAATTAACTATTTGAAATCTTTATCTATTTATTTATTTTCATTTTCTTTTGTTTTATTATTATTTAGTCTTCGAGATGATCTTGATCAAGATATGAAAGAAATAGATATATATTTTCTAAGTTTAACGTGCAAAATTCCAGAAATTTTAAGTTGTGCATTGAGTAATTATATTGTTATTTCAACATTATATTACAAGAGTGATCATCAATCATCAACATTATCAAATAATCGTCTTCATGATTCGTATGTTTTATTTTATTTTTTTTTGTTTAACGTTTAAAGAAATTTCTATGTAGAATGGATATTACAATGGTAAAATTTTCTCAATTAAAAAATGAAATTTTACAATCATTTAATAATACAAATCAATTAATTAAATTAACAACTGAACTATGTAATGCATGTGAGAAATATTCGAAAGTAAAAGACCTTTTTTGGAAGGTTAGTTATCATATGTTTTTTTTTCTCTTGTGTTTAATTTTTTTAAAATTATTTCTTAGGATCATGATTTATTTACTTACTATGTTGCACAATTTCAATCTTGTTCCCAAGATATATCAAATAATGATTTTGATGATGCTACAATTGAGTAAGATACAGATATCTTTATTCTATTTATTGCTATTTGATTTTGAATAATTTAATTGAAATATTTAGTTTTTCTTGTTCGATATTGCAATTATTAAATGAAATTTTTCTAAACACCTTTGCATCAAATGAACGACTATCACGTCTATCACATGATGAGTAAGCTATTTATTCTTTAAATGACTTATGCATGTAATTAATTTGCTCAATACTTTAAAAGTTGTTTTTTTCTTTCATATAAAAATATTTTATTACAATGCCAATGTAAGAGAGACATTCATATTCATCTTCAAAGCAATTAACTTCAATTTTCATTGGATTTATAAAAATTATTCTACTAGGTGAACCATGTAAAGAAAGATTTTTCTATAGAAATTCCACATTTTCCGCATGAATTATATACGACATAGCAAACATAATGGTAATGGCATTATTATACTATAAAAAAAAAGCTCAAGGAAAGTTTCTCTTTTTATATACTGGCAGTAGAAGTACTGATCTATATTAGTACAATATTTTATCATTCTTTAATTGATATTTAATGAGATTAATTTATTGTGAAAGTTTCTAGTTTGTTTTGCATTGCCGTTGTTTTTCAATGAGAACATTGAAATCTGTCGGTGCATATGAGCGACATGAATAATATGCTTGTACTATTACTGTATCTATGGTAGGATAAGTAAAATTATCTGACATTTTCACAATAAACTATTCTCATGAAAACCTACCATAAAAATATAACATTTTGACAAGGACAAGCTAATAGACCAAACTTTTTTCCGAACACCAATTGAAAAGCGATTTTACACTTAGAAATGTTTTCTCATATATTTTTTTTAATTTTCTTGTTCTACGCTTTAAAAAAAATACTATTTTCTACAGATGCGCTCGACTTCAAACACTTATTCACTGTCTTTTGACACCTCCGATTACTTTACTCTCAACTCAACCAACAACGACAACAACAGCATCCGACGATTCAGAAGTGAATGAAAGATTACAAGTAACTTAATATTTTATCTAAATTGGTGTTCTTTCACTTTAAACAAAATTAAATTTAGAACACATACAAAATAGTATTAAAATGGATGTTTGGATCAGGTACTGTATTATGGCATATTGGAAATATGCTCAGTCGACCATCATGGACATCAAAAAGTTTTCGTTTTCGACACTTTATTGAATTATTCGAAAAACAACAACAAAAAGTAAATTTTCAATAGAAATATTTATTTTTACTAATCAGCTTTAGATAGATAATCATAATATAATTTGTTCTTTTTGCCTAGAAAAGGAAGAAGATGATAGAGTATATAATTCAAATATTTCAATCCAAAATTATCCACATTTCATTGTATTTCCTTCAATAGGGAAATTAGGATCTATTGTATTTCGACAGATATAAATATAGGACATTCTCTCGAAAGTAGATATCATAGAGATCAACCAAAAGTGCGTTTGACTATAAGGTTTTCAGTTCTTTTTTTTTGCAATCTGTAATTAATCAGTTGCAATTGTCTGTTGGTTGCACGATGTGATCTTTTTTCTTCAATCCAACAATTTATTAATTCATTTTTTCTAATCAAGCATAAATCAAAACCTGTTGACATGATTTGATGTTATTAGCTGTCAATACAAAGATGACGAAATGTTTTCCCAAGCAGTTTTGTTTAATATTGTTTTGTCTTTTAAATATCCACGGCTATTATATTCGGTTTTTCTATATGCCTCATGATTGTTGATTATAATGCAATGCACAAAAAACTCTTCCTGTTTCGTTTTGTAACATGAGTGATAGAACATGTGTTGTTTGCTTTACAGATATTATTATGTTTTATAGGATCAGAAATAAAGGCTCGGTAGAACTGTCAACTCACGTTTCAAAGCTTTAACATCGCGGGCTCTAGTCGTCTGAGAAATATGTCGAGTGCACTAGTCACCGAACACAAAAAACTGCAAAAGCATCTCGTATTTGCCCAGTGACTATCCAATTTTTATTAGAAAATTCCATTGAAAGCATCAAATTACGGTTCGATCGGGTTCTAAAACAATTCAATAAAACGGATTTACAAATTTTGAATCCAATGAACGCTATAGGACTTACTATTCAGAATAAGGAAGTCCTCATATTTCACAGACTCATTCCTAGCTAAATTCGCTTAGTCACACTATAGTCTTAGCAGCATAAGGAGAAGCTAACATAGAACGATTTTGCTGTATTTATAACTATTTATTTAACTATAATCAATACTATATAGTCAATAGCACAAACTCTTACAAACATGTTTCTTTATTCCTTATAATATATATGACTTTTGTCTTATCGAATATATATATATATTTCAGGATGAATATTTTGATTTATTTATCGATGCATTATCACGATTAATAATGAATAAAGACAATAAAGTATAGTTATTTTAATCAATTTCTTTTGTTTTTTTTTTTTTTTAAATAAATATATCATATCTACTAGGATCCATTTAGTCCAAATCATGCATTATATGTCTATCAATTTTTTTCTATATTATCCATGTTATTAATTAATTCAACAATGTTTTCTGAATATATTCGTGATCGATATCTTGAAGATTTTAAGTATGTTTTATATAAAATTTTAATTTTTTATAAAAATCTTTTCTTTTACTTTTCTTCATTATTAATTGAATAGATATTTTTTAAAAGAAGATATTATACTTTCAAGAATTCCTGTTCAATATCCAGTCTATCGTTTTATTCCAGAGCTTATTCGTAGTGTTCATCATCGTATATTATATGGTGAACCAAATTATAATTTATCAAATCGTCCCAAACATCATCAACTTATTTGAAATGAACTTTCGTGTTCAAATCAGATTTATTTCCGCAATAATATTTATTTTTTTTCTGCTTTTTATGGGTGATTCTAAAAAAAAAAGAACTATTTTATTTTCATTTTCTCAATTAATCTCATCTTCCTCCCTTTTTTTTCTGTTTTTAAATTAACATTTTTATTTTATTAAAAAAATTAAAACAAAATTATTCAACAAAATATCTAATGAGACTTGTATAATGTGGATTTCGTCCATATTTTGCATGAATAATAACATCTTCGGAATCGACAGTTATTTCTCGTTGTAAAATCGGATCTACATAACCTTCAGTTCGAAGTGGTTGAGAGCCAATCGTTAATATAACTGATTTTGCACCAGGAATACAACAATGAATAGGTACAAGAGAATCTTTTTTTAATATGCCATTTAATGGTGTATAAATTCGACATTTAGTAGTATGAAATGCTGCATAAGTCATTGGAAATTTCATTGGTTGTTGAAGTTTTGTAACATTCAGTGAAAACATAACAACTGCAGCAGCTAATTTATCAGTATCATTTATTGGTTTAGCAAAAATAAATAATTGATGTTGACCTGTTTGTTCAGGTGCAAATAAAAGTTGCCAAAGTTCTCTTTCATAATCATATTGTACTAATGCACCATTTTCTATTTTTCTATCCTGATATTCTATACGACCTGACAATTCAATATCATCCGGTGCTTGAATAAGAATTTCTGTATAAGATGAATTTTCTAACCATCTAGCTGTTGAGCGATTTCTGGGTGCTTTAATTTTAAGATTATAATCATGAAATAATTGCCACGTTTGTGGAAATGTTACAGGTGGTGTAGAAATATGATTCACTTCAATTTCAAATGTAACAACCTGAGAATAATGTGGATCAGAATTAGATTTTTTCTTTGCCATAATAATAGCATTAAAGAGATCTCTATTATTAGGCGCAAATTTACAATGCCATATATCTTCATGTCGATTGTAATAAACTTGATCTGCATTCGGAATTACTTCTTTGTTAGAATTTTTTAATCGGCCAATAAGTTCGACGTCATTTGGCGCTTTTAAACATATTTCAACAAATGAAGATTGTTCAGATAAAATAATTTTATAACAATCATTTGGAGGTAATATTTCAAGATTAAGATCATGAAAAAGTTGTGTAGTATTTGGTAAAGATTTTTGTTGAAATGAATGCCGCTTGACGACGATTTGAAATGATACAGCAGAAATAAAACTTTCTGAATCCGATTTTTTTTTAGCAAGTATAAGAGCATCATAAACTCCTTTTTGATTAGGTGTAAATTTACAGCGCCAATAATTTTTTATATTATCATAATAAATTTGACTTTCACCAGATATTTTTTCTTTTTTATCATTTTGTAATTGACTGACTAAATCAACATCCTTTGTAGTTTGTATGCGAATTTCAGCATATGGTGCTTTATTGCTTAATACAATAATACCTTGATCAATTGGAGAAAGTATTTTAAGGCCAAGATCATAAAATGTTGACCAAGTAATTGGAAATGTTAATGGTGGTGATGAAATTCGATTTGCATTAATTTTAAATTGAACAGCAGAAGTAAAGCTTTTCGGATCTGATTTTTTCTTAGCAAGAATAAGAGCATTAAAAGTTCCGGATTTATTTGGAGCAAATCGACATCTCCAACATATTTTTTCATGATCATAATAAACTTGATCGGCATAAACAATTTTTTCTTCATTATGACTCATAAGTTGTCCTATTAATTCAATATCAGATGGTGCTTTTATAAGTATTTCTGCGTATTTTTCACTATTATTAAGATTAATTAAATGTGTTTTTAATGGAGAAAGTATTTTTAATCCATAATCAAAAAAAATTGACCAAGTTTTTGGATAACTTATTGGGCTTTTAGGTATTTGTTTTATATCAAATGTTAAATCAAGTACGGATTCAAATGTATCACTATCTGTATTATTACGCTTTGCATAAATCATAATTTTATGATTACCAATATTCTGTGGAGCAAAGTAACAATAGTAAAATCTTTTTCTTTTATCAAAAATAACCTGATGACCACCTTCGATTTTTTCATCGTGTAATTTTAAATTAGCTATAAGGCATACATTAGCTGGTGCTTTCATAATAACTAAGGCAAATGGTTCACCATGTTCAAGATTAACAAAACATCGATGTCGAGGCTGAATCGTTTCAAGTTTAAATTCAAAATACTCTGGACGAAGATGGGGCATTTGTAAATATTGTGTCATTTTTATTGGAGTTTGTAATAATTGCCATTTTTCATTTTCAGGTAAATGATGGTAAATCATTTCATTTGGGCGGGGAAGAAAATAATAGGATGATAATTTACGTTCAAACTCTTTTTTTTCGTCTAAGTGCCCAGCACCCCATGTTGATTCCATTAAATACCAATGATGATAAATCTCAACAGCATTCCATGCATGATCAGTTTCAGTGGGTGCATCTTCTCGATCATCAAATCCATAACCTTTTGCATATCCACTGACTTTTTCACATGGCATTTCTAATTGATCACATAGATATTTATACAGATTAGCATAACCAGCACATACACCTTTTCGTGTTTGAAATACTCCTTCTGCTGTTTGATCTTTATAATCTTTTGCAAAATATGATACAGTATCATATTCAATATTAAATGTAATCCAATAGAAAATAATCCAATGACGATCAATTATTGATTTACCGTTAGATAATTCTTTAATGAAATGAGTGAGTTGTTGAAGGGAATCTGGTTGCCATGATTCAATTGTTGATCGATATGAATTATTCTTTATTGCTTGCCGACGTTGTTGAATAAAATGGTCATTAAAAGCTGCTGGATCAGCAACTTCAATATTAATAAAATTATCAACGAAAGCTGAATTTCGATTTAATATATCATTATTTTTTGGATCATCTTTTATAATTTGAGGTGGAGGTTTAGGTGAATCATCATTAGGTGGTGTAATGGTATTAAAACTTTTATCGTCATCATCATCTCTTTGCTGTTTAATGATTCTACATCCCATCTTTTTTGTTTATGTGATGTGTCAAACTACTCTTTTTTCTCTCATAACAAAAGAATGAAGTCGATGAAAAAAGCGTATGACATCAAATGGACGCAACGTCAAGTTATCGACAATAATAACTCATATCTTGTTTTTATTTACTGATACTAAGACTACTACAAACCTAATGATAATGTTGCTAAGCAAGCAGGTAGCTTGCATGTACACATGTAGAAAAAAGAAGAAAATGATACTTCAGACAAAATCATAGTTTGCTGTTTAACTAATGTAAACCTATATATTCTTTTTATTATAAGTCTATTAAAATAGTTTGTTTTTCATCAAACTTCATATTGATAATATCGATCGAATTGTTTGCTTTCAAATGCAGATCTAACGGTTCAATGACAAATAATGTATCCTTCATATTGAGATTATTACATTGAATATTGGATGAAATTGGTGTGTCGTCAAGTACTCGAATGAGAGTTTCAACATAAAAAACTGTTTACTGGTCAAATGATTATATTGAACTATTCCGTGGTGCTTTCACTTTTCGATCAAAATTTACGAAATAGTTGCCGCATATATGTGTAAGATAAAGATGAAGAATAGCTTTGAATTCGTTCGATCTAAAATAATATAGACTCTTGAAAAATGTTTAAACTTAAGTTATTAAATTTCTTCTCTGTTCCGGGATAATTCACAGAATTTGGTGGTATATCAATTTTTAATATAGAATCGAGTGCATTGTCATATAATTTACTGTTGAAATTGATTTTTTTACCAAAAATTGAAATTTTATGTTTATCAGTACCTGTTGAAACAAAATAACTGCGGTGGAGTAGGTCTTTTTTAATATCAAACATAATAAAAACCAATGCACATTATTTATCATAAACGAATGATACATGTGCTTGATGATGTAGATGAATTCATTGAAAACTCAAATTAAAATACGTTGAATGAGTGTGTGGTATTTAAAAATATTGCTTACTATATATCGATGTTCATAATAATTGTCATTGATCATCTTTAGGCAAATGAAGACATATCATTTGATAACAGCGAGCAAGAAAATCGAAATAATCATAATTTTTTTCGAGCGTTCGCTGTTCATTTAATAGTTATCTATTCCATGTAGCATCCGTTAGACAACAATGTTGCTTAATTTTCATAAAACTTTTTTTTCAAAGTTTCAATTTCTTTACGATTCTCAAATCAAAAACTTTTTACATATTCATTTATTTCTTTACATTTCATAATTTATTGATCATATAAATAGTGACATAAACGACTTTCACTATCATATATATGTTATTGTGAAAAATACTAATCATTTTTGAAATAGATTGTTTTAGAATAGTATAAAACCAACAAATATTTTGCTAATCTATTGCATTATTGACTAAGACATGTCGTGATCGATTTTTTGACTTACCAAGTGTGTCTTTTACAAAAGATCTAAACTTTGCACACACACCCACACACGGCCTATTGATTTTATTTTTTATAATTCTTAAATGTATATATGTTTCACTATAATTCGTTACATAATGAATAATGCACGGCAACAAGACACAAAACATTGAGTTTTATATCGAAAATATGCTGATATCAATATGCGAACAGCAATGAGCAGTAATTGTATTTTTGATCACCAAAAAAAGATACTTTTGATCACCAAATTTTATAGAGAGGTGTGATTTTTCATCATCTCTTGTTTGTTCGTCATGCACTTCTATTTCATTAGAGGGCATCCATAAAGTTAGTTGTACCATTACAATCATGTAGCTGTCCTGTTGGCATTAAAGAGTATTCATGTAAATATTCTGTTGGTTTAGCAATTATATTTAACATGCATCAAGTCAGCAACAAAACACGTATTCAACCATTAGGTAAACGAAAAACAAGAGGACGTCCGAAGAAAGTTAGCACAGCTTTAAATTTGTAAATATATATTAATAAAAATAAGAATATTGTTTACTTTGTTATTATTTCAATGAATATTGTTTATTTTGTACATTGTATTTTACTTTGTTGAGAAATAAAAGTATGAGATGCATTCTAAAAAATTTGGTGATCAAAAGTCTCTGTTTTTGGCGATCATTTGTATCTAACGATTTTTGGTGATCAACAAAAATGCTACCCGGAATGAAAGCTATGTTGACATTATGAATCAAGTGAAAAGATACGCCTCTAAACAAAAAATAAGGAGACAAATGAAGGAAAGAAATTAATAAAAGTTTAGGCACTTGCAATGGAAACTATCCAACTAGGAAAGAAAAAGTTGCTTTCTATTGCTTTTTCTCTGCCTTTATATTACCATTGACCAATATATTCTTATTGTCAAGATGCTTAATCCTACACAGCAATGTTAAGTGCAGAAACGTGAAGAAAATGGTCAAAAAAAAGACATAATGCAGAGGAGATCATGGATTCTCATTATAGAGAATTCATGCTTTAAAATTTAGGAATATTTCTACAAGTTTTTTCTAAAGTCTTCTACATTTATAGTCCTGAACTCACGATCATACCGATCTCTACTATTTTAACATCTATGATCCATGTTCGATTAAAAATCTCAACGATAATATAACTGAAAAGCGAAAGCATCAATGTAGAAAGAAGGGCCTATCAATATAAAGAGAGTAGCTAGTTTTGTTTTTCATCGAAAATTATTGCTTGCAATGTGAAAAATATTTAGCATAAAAACAATATACTTTGAACATGGCTTATACACTGATATTTTAAAACACGTTGAGATGCATCGCACTTACCGAAATCATATTCAGGACATGTTTGAAATTGTGAAAGACGTCTGAAAGCAGTGATAAAAGGTTTTTTCAAAGATAAGTTTAAATTAAATGACACAATATAAGATGTTATTAACTAGACATCTTAAAGAACTGAATTATTATTTAAAGAATAAATCCTATTTTCATTAAAAGAAAGCACATGCAACAATGCAATATGGGTATACAAGTATTTCCATTTGAATCAGTACAGAAGTGAATGCTTCATACATTTTTAACACTGCGATGGGACTCCAGGGCTCTTATATATGAATGGTTTGCAAATATGTGGTATAATTGGTACAAAAATATGGAAATAGATCTAAACAATCGTCAAGTGTTACATTTTATCATTCTCTATGCCCATGTTAAATAGGAAAAGTTTCAGAAAGCTCAACTGCATATTAGCCGAAAGCTGGCTTATTCCAGCGATGTTTCACTATCGCGTCTCCCTAACTCTCCTCTCATTTGTTCCCAGGGTGGCCGCACCTTAATCATACCAAGTGTTAAACTCAATGGTTAGGAATTTTTAAAAACGAATATATATCAAACGCTGAAAAATTAAGAAAAGGAATTTAACCGTTACCATGCTGGTATTTTTTTAAGATACCATTCATTTTATTATTTCATTTGATACTCATTGGTTAAATATATAAATCGCATCGTAATCAATGTTGATTAAAAAACTATCCTCATAACAAATCGCTATAACCTTTAAAACGTAGTGAATTTGATGATGACGACCATAATATTTAAATACACCTTAAAATTAAACATGCACCAAGTTAACTACAATTTAAGACGGAAATGAGCATCATATAAAGATATATGATGCTTGGTGATATTTTGTTGGATTAATTATTTTTATATGATATCTTCAACTTTATATTGTTATTCTTATGTAAGTATTCAGAAATGCAACACTATTGTTAAGAAACGTTGAAGACTGACAAATATAAGAAAAAAGTTTGCAAAAAGCCAAATAATCACCTACTCTTAGGCGCAATGTGATTGTGCTGCCAATCGAGAAAACTTTAGATGATGTTCGCTACCGTTCTTTGCCTCTTCTCTTTTGAGACACTCTATATATATATCTCTGTACTTCAGTATAAAATGCATCATAAGTAATGTTATTTAATGAAAAATGTCTTTCTGATTGTCATGACATTTTGTATGTTTCTCCATAGCAGAAAGAAACGGCAGGTTGAATACTTCACTAGCTATGGAACTCTGAGAAACATAACTAGATTAATAATCTGAGCGACAAGAAGCAATCTATTCATGAGTTATTCACGAAATAATCTTTATAAATATCTGTCTATCAACTGAGTGAGTATCAAATTTTTAAAAGATCATTGTTTTCAAAAAGAACAGGTGTTTAGGGCGAAATGTATTTTTTATCACTGATTGTCTCATCGAATTCTTTATTTTTTTGAGGACATTTATTTTTCTTCAACTTGGATGTATTGGAAGAAAGTAAAAATATAATGTCTTTCTACATAAAAATAGCGCAACGTCTGCCACAAAGTATTGTGGACGAACAATCACACAAACAAAAGGATACACATGCGAGGAAGTTCACGTTCTAAAATATAGACTATTCCTCATATTTTTTCCTTTTTTTGATGGTTTCGAAAATTTCGTTCTTTTTTGCACGCTTCACTATAAAATAAAATGTTTTTACAATATCAGGCTATTAATTCAGAGACAATATGAGCTAAAACGGTAAAATTTGCCTTAATTGGTTATCCAGAGTCAAATTTATTCGTGATATTTAGTCAAAATCTCAACCGTACCAAAAATTATCGATTACATTAAGATTTCACAAGCCTTTTTTGAATTAGAATAGGAATTTATCGGTTGAAAAATTCCAAATTTTTGTATATGATTTCTTCTAGTTTTGTTTGATACTTCAATCATTATATTCATGTCAATATTTGTTTTGCTTGTCAAAGTAGATATTGACTTACATCGATTTTTTTTCTTTGACATCTCATATATAATTTATGAGTTTGAAATAGTTCGTGTTAGTATTCATCATAAGTCCGTAACCGTCATTGTTCACGATTCCTTAGTCAAATAATTTCATTCAGTTTAGTTTAAAATTATTTTGTTTCCTATTAAACAAATTGAATTTCTCAATTTTATACTATTTCTCAATAATTATCTGAAGCCAATAGTTTTTAATAGAAATCAACTTCTTATTAAACAACGGAGATTTATATCTTCCCACGATCTTTTTTTTGCTATCAAGATATCTGATTGATGTCTGTCAATGAATTGATATATAGAACAACACAAAGAAAAAAATGAAGGAAATGACTGTTGACAAAAAGAAACCTAAGGAAATAATTGACACGTCATACAATCGCTTGTTTTCATGTCGCTCAAGAGTCAATAGGGAACATATTAGCGATAGAAAGACTCTGATTAAAAAAAATCATATATATATATACATTCTGTTTTAAAAAGTGTTTTTTTTGTTTATATAACCTTGATTTTAGGCTTATTTTAAATACTAATTCTCAAGTTTCGTAACTATTGTATTATTAATAGGAAATTTCTAGATAATAATGAATAATATGATTGATAAGAATATTAATTTAATGTCGAATAATAAAAACATAACAGTAGAACAAGAAGAACAATGGAATCACAAAAGTTTAGATATATTAAATATGAAAAGGAATCTTTTTATTAATATTTGTCAATCATCATCAATATTTTTTATCTTAATTATTATTACAATTATTCCAAGTGAGTTTTATTTATTAAATATTACATGAAATAAATATTAACAACAATACGGAACTCTATAGAATAGAACATGTACTTTGTTTCTAAAAAGTCTATAAGATCTATGAAGTCATTGCTATATGAATAATGACATATTGTTTTAAACTTTCTCAAATTAACTGTTATTCATTACAGAATATTGTCATTTTTTAGGATACCGACTCGTTTCATGTGCATTGGAAAATAATTCATTCTTTTTTTCTTGTTGTAGTTTCACAAGTATTTGTCGGTTGGCATTATTCCAATGCATGTCCAATCAATCAATCAATTCCATATTATTTAACTGTAGCAGGGTTTGTTGGTCTTGTTCTAGTTATTCTAATATTTGTTTCTCAATTAATGGCTCGAACATTTGCAAGAAAAATGTTCGATGATGTTATTGATAGAACAAATCAAAATCGAACAACAATTCTTTTTGGTTGTGGAGTTTGTAGCATTATGTGTATTAATTTATCGCTTTTTATATTTTTACTTGGTTGGTCTATTGTCGGATGGATATGGGTACTTGGAGTTTGGCACAAAGTGCAATATTATCATGTGACTGACAATGATTATTGTCATCCAATACTTTATAAATTTACTTTTTCGCTTCTTTTATTAACAATATCTTTTCAAATGATTTTATTTTCTTTCGTTTGTAGAAAAACATGTGTTAGAATAACGAATGTTCGAAGAAAAGACACAATAGCAACAGATGAATCTTAAAAGATTCTTGATTATCTTTAATGGAAAAATTCTTCAGTGATGCGAACAAAAAAATAAAACAATATTAATAACTTAAATTTCATAAAAAAGACTCATTTAAATTATGTTTCATTTTATTTCATTAATAAATTTCATCGTTTATCTTTCAGTCGAAAGCTAAAAAAGTATCACAGACGGCCGAAAAAAAAACAAAATGGGTATAGTAATTTCCTTTTCTGCTTTCATTCGATATAAAAATAAAACTAAAAATGTATTCATTGAACAGTATATTTTACTAAACCATCGTAACTTGATTTCTGTTTGTATTTAGCATATATAAGTACTTCCTTCGAACCAACAGTAATTTCTCTTTGTAAAATTGGATCTCTATAGCC